AAAGAATAAACCAGTTTTATTAAGTAAGGACTTGCGTCGCTTAAGTTTCGTCGGAACGAAGTTACGGAAAGTTAATTAACAAACGGAGACGTAACAGTATAATTGCGATCTTCTGTATATTTTTTCAGTTAAGCGCATCAATGAATTTTGCAAATAGTTCTTGGCTAAACCAAAGTGAAAACAAAAAGCGATGCGTACGTTTAACCTAAATAAAAAAAATCATTATTCTCTTTGGTAATAGGATTTATACGACTCACATTTTCCAAAACAGTTTGTCTCTCACTTTCTCTCTTTCTTTCTTATTTTTTTTTTTGTCTGTACTTAAAAGTCCTGAAACGATATGGTGCTTCTTAATACGACTTTAATAAACATCACCTGAAGAAGGGTTTAGGCCTGAAACGTCGTGTGAAATTACAGTTACTTACATTTACTTACCATTGTATCTTGTGATTTTTTTTCCTTCTTAGACTTTGTCTTGCATCTTCTGTGCGTTGATTTTTATATATATATATTTTTTTTTAGATTGTATACATTACCTCTTAAAACTGATCGACCTCAATGGCATTCAGCAACAAAAGAATCAAAAAACATTGAGTCTCAATATGTTCCATTTCTCCAGTGACTAATAAACGACTTAAATAGTCTAATTCGTCCTGGGTGTACTTGTAGAATAGACGTATATTTAGCAGGCAGTTTTATGTTTGTTTACATTCTCACTTAGACCGAGTGGTGCTAGCTCTGTAACATCTTCTTTGTGTATCTCTTGAAGGATATACCAATTATATCTCTTTGATGATGTGAAATTGTTCATCAGACACGACGTGTAAAAGTATACGAACTTAAATAAAGCTCTATAATTATAGTCACTAACAAGCCACCCACAGCCATTTCTAAATGTGATGGGGGACTATTGCTGATATAACAAAGAACGAAATATGTATTCTGTAATATGTAGTTCACACATATATATATATTGTAAAATGTTCATTATGTAAGAATGTAACATAATATATATATATATTGTATATGCCTACACATACACCTGTGCGTGTGTACACCTCAAATTGATTTCAGTCATTACGAAACAGAAATTCCCTCGAAATTATTAAATAATTTACATAAGAAGACACTGTTGTAATTTATCTAATATTTAAGATGTTACTTTTTTCTATATTATATACAAATATAACCTTAGTCAGTTACTCTGGACAAAACCGGAAAGTATTGTTACGTCTCTGTTCTCGTTTGTTAATTTTCCGTAGAAATTCTTTCCGAGAAACTTCAGCCGATACAAGTCCTTTCTTAAATAAAACTAGTTTATTCTTTCTCAATTCAACTTTGCAATACACTTAATTTCCACAGTCATTTGAACTTACACACGCTATAATTCACAACGATTCACGAACTTTACTTACGGTCACTACCGCTCACTTGACTCGATTAACTGTGTCTATATCTCCCTATCTGCAATCCAATTCCAATTAATTGTCTCGCTTTATTTGCCGCGCTTATATACAAGAATAGAGGGCGTCTAGAACTCACTAGCCTCTTCAGGAATCTTCTAGATACTCATCACGTGTTACCAGGGTCACGTGACTTCCGCTGTCATAACAGTATTTATAAGGAGTAACAGGAAAATAAAAAAACTTCCCAGGCACCCCACTCTATTTTGATATCTCGCCTTTCTACCTTGAATTTTTACTTTTCAAGGTTTTCCTTACGAACACTTTCATTGGTTAAATAACAAACAATAAGCCAGTTTCATTTACTCTTCCTATAATATTAAAGATAAAAGCGTTTGTACCATTCTTGTGATAATAGTTAGGCCTGTTGCTAAATATATACAAATTCTGGCTTAATATTCGTAATTGATTCTGCAGTTTTAAAATGAGGAAACATTTCACACGTGTAGTATTAGCACATATATCACGCGTGTATATTACATACATACATGAATACATGCATAGACGCACAATATATTTTTAGAAAAAGTTTTTTGTAGATGATATTTAAAGGTTAGGTAGCACATACATAAGTGTATATTAGTACACCTACTCAAGTATGTATTAATACATCGATACATGTATATATTACCACACAGAAACACATATTATCATATATTGACATCTGTATATTAGCACATTTACTCATGTGTGGATTAGTACACCTACACAAGCGTGTATTAGTACACCTACTCAAGTGTGTATTAGTACATCGATACATGTATATACTATCACACAGAAACACATATTACCATACATTGACATCTGTATATTAGCACATTTACTCAAGTGTGTATTAGTACATCGATACATGTATATACTATCACACAGAAACACATATTACCATACATTGACATCTGTATGTTAGCATATTTACTCAAGTGTGTATTAGTACATCGATACATGTATATACTATCACACAGAAACACATATTACCATACATTGACATCTGTATATTAGCACATTTACTCAAGTGTGTATTAGTACATCGATACATGTATATACTATCACACAGAAACACATATTACCATACATTGA